GATTCGGTTCAATTTTTTTTAAAAAATTTAGTTTCCATCAAAAACGGAATTAGTTTTTTTTTTTCTTTCAACATACACCCAAGAACCTCTTGCAAAAAACTATTACCACCGTGTTACAAGCTCTTTGATATATAATTTAATTGATATATTTTTATATTTCATACCAATTCTTAATTCTTATAAATTTGTGATCTCCACATATTTTAAACTACTTTTTTTTTTAAAAAAAAAAATAAAGATCTTCTTAACACCTAATTAGTGACGGAGTGAAAAGTTTTTTTTAGAGAAACAAAAGATATTTAAATGAGATATTTCTCTATAAACAAAATGATAGAATTCTTTATTAGAGATGAAATGACTAAAACTATGAATTTTCATAAAATATGCATAAAAGTTTAAAAATTCCATTTGCAATCTCCAACTATGTGCTTTGCCATTGCATCTAATGATGCAAGAATTCGAATATATATATATATTTTTAATACAAACTTTTGGGTAAATTTGTGAGGTTAGTGTTGATCAAACTAGCATGAATGAGACATGATGCTAAAACTAGAGTAAATTATAAATCGAGTCTTTCTAGTTTTGAAGAAAAAATTATTTTTTTTTATTTTAAAAATTAATTAATTATTTTTTTTTGTTCATTTTATGTTCTTAACAACTTTATATAAAAAAAAATTGTTGGTTAAAAAAATTAAATAAATATTTGGGAATATCAATGAAAAAGGAAATTTTTTAAATAAATTAAATTAAACATGGTCAATACTAATAAAAAAATAAATTTTCTAGAACGTCAATATTTGTGATGTAATTAAAAAAAAAACTGCAAAAAAGTGGCTTTTCAACTTGGTCCAAGAAAAAAAAATGAAATTCAAAAGAAAAGGCGAAAAAAATAAAAAATAAAAAAATTGCTTTTAATCAAAAACCAAAAAATCGAATTGAAAAATTCGATTTTTTAATTGAAAAACTGAAACTCAATTTAGTTCGATTTCAAGTTTTATTTTTGTTTTAGTCAATTCGGTTAACCAAAAATCGAAAGAAAAAAAAATCAAAACCGAATCGACAAACCAAATGATCACTCCTAAGTAGTAATGGGTATCAAACCAATGTCGTACGGTACCGTTTTGGAATTATAGAACTTAAACTTAGGAGTTAAACGTCCAAGAAAATTTGTAGTTGTAACCAATTCTGAGTGTACATTCATTGCCATTGGGGCAGTGTTTACTTCATTCTCATTGGTCGCGATTTTATCTCTCTAATAATTTTGGTCTTTCCCCTTCCTAATCAGTCCTTCGCCGGAATTATATGCACTGTTAATTTATTTGTATCTATATTTTTTTGCAATAAATTAAAACTGGTTTCTGAACATCCTTACATCGAAAATTAAAGAAGAAGAAGGAGGAGGAGCTAACATACAATGTAGGTTTACGCAGGGAAAAGCATGCTTTCTAAATAAACTAACTTTGTCATGTTTTAAAAATTAAGTTATCAAGATTCCTAAAAACAAAAAAGTTATCAAACTTAAAAGTTTGAAAATAAAATGGATCAATTCAGACTTGGGACTTGGGCTTGCCTGTTGTTATTTTTGTCCTTTTTGTTCTTGGACTTTTGTTTAAATTGATCACGCAGTCAAATGGGATTTATCATGTTTTGGTTAAAAAGGAGGAGTTGGTTAATCAATATTTATTCAATTAACAGCTGGAAATACGTACGCTACTGCCTATTTCATATATTTCTTATCGTTGTCGTTTTCCTTTCTATTTTTTTTTTTAAAAAAAAATTGAAACATGAATCTCTGAAAAAAATGAATGCCCGCAGTTGTAATATCTCCAAAAATGAAAGAGTCGGTCTTCATATATATATATATATATATATATTCCTTGGAACCTCTTCCTTAAAATTATTAATTAGCCATTTTCTTTTTGGAGACTTTTTAGCCTACCTAGCGTAGAACAAGATCAATCCAATTAAGTTGCTGCTGTACTCCAAAAATATTATTTCTTATTTATGCTCACAATTGATAATATATTTGTTGTATTTTATTTAATTGTTTTAGGTGATATTATTAAGCTATGATACATAGTTCGTGCCGACCTCCCACATCACCTTAGGGATCACAATCGGATAGTCGTGGATGTGCATCTCCGCTCGATGGTAGTGAACATGATTCTCCATCCAACGTCGATCATGGTTCTCCATCTTCAAGTGCTCTTCGTGGGTCAATTATCATGGGACGTTTGATTTATTCCTCTACCTAAACTAGTAGTTCTACCTCGGTTTTGACATCTCCATCCACGATCATTCATCCGGCTATGTAACTATTGAGTTTCCTCAACCTCCCTCGGGGAGTCCATCATTTGTTGATGTATCTATCAATCCGAGGAGCTCTCGAGGCTCCGATATTTGACAACCAATTTTAGTCGTTAATTGTCAATGAGTAATTGACTTCAAACCTTTTTATTTTTAAAAAATTTAATATATCGTTTTAATAATTATGACATGCTTTTTTGGTGTTTGATAATTTTGTACCGTGTCAAAGAGATTGCTTTAAAAGGATAAAGATGTTTTTAAGGAGTGGTTGGATGTTGGTGGCTCGAGTGTGGAAGTCCATTTCGGAGCGAGATAAAATAGTTTTACTATAATAAGTTTAAGATAATATATTACTTATTTATTTATATTTCATTTAAACTATTAATTTAACATGAAATAAACTAATATTAATTTTTTATTCATATAAAAGTTTTTTTACCGGGAACCGACCATCGAGGCATAGGGCGAGAGATGCTTGGGAGGCTTTGGTTGGAAAGCGCTACTCTAACTTCGTCCACATGCATGATACACATGACCAAATGCCTTTTTTATTAGGCGGTAGGTGTGAGATTCATGGAAGCAAGATTTTACCACATTGATCATTAGTTGTGTTCATAGTAGGCATCGAGTAACCGGATGTTAGAGATCGGTGGTCCTAGTTCGGGACCTGTCTAGGCATACTAGAGGATCCATATCTACTTTTGAGCATGCCCACCATTAGGTAAATCTTACCATATATAATTAAATGTTTAAGAAATTAATATTTGCATCTCATATATTATTTGTGACAATTTTTTTCAGTTGTGAAATTAGGTTGTCGATCTATAAATTTAGAGTTGTTTAGGATCACTCACAAGCAAAGAGATGAGAATTTCATCAATTTACGAGCCCGATCTACAATAAGTTTATTTTCATTTTTATATTATACATATTAAAATATAATTTAAAAAGTTATTTTATTTTTTATTAATGTTATAATTATTTTTATTATGCGAAGCGTGTGGAGGAGATGATATAGGAATGCGTAAGTGTAATAATACGATAAGGAAGCAATGAGAGGCTAGCCATAGATCGACATGGACACGATATATTTCGGTGTCGTAGGAGGGGAGAAGAGGAAGGGGCTTTTCGAGATCGGGTTAGAGGCGGACCACTATTTATTCTAATCAACCGGCACCGGCTATCGCTTCGTAGCATCGTAGTTTCATAACCCCAATGATGCTAAATGGCCTCCACCTCAATACGACATTTTAGGAGAAAGTATAAGAGCAAAAAAATATTATCATGCATCAACGAGATGAAGATCCAAAGGATGAAGGCTAAGATGGATTCGATTTCATTAACGTTAGAGAGGATGACGTAGTCGACTCCTTTGCTTATTGACCCCTCCACCAACGACAACTCTAAACTCCCTCCTAGTGAGCCCTTACACCATCGTCCCTCCTAGCGAGTTCCGGGATTCCACCATCCTTCCCATCGAGCCCTAGCAATATGAGAGGGGATTATATGATATGCGATGAAATTTACTTTTTCTTTTATGTTTTTAATCTTTTTCTTACGTAGTAACAAATATTTTTAAAAATATAAATTTATTTTAATTTTAATAAAAAAATTTAATTTTTATAATAAGTTGTTTGTTTTAATTATGAGTTACTACTTAAAATATCCAAATTTTAAAAAAATAAATTTAAAAAATTATATTTGCGACGGAACTAGCAACGGAATAGCGACTCAATACCTAGAGATTAAAGACAAATTTGAAAAAAAAAATTTGATCGAAAAAAACAAAAATGAAAAACAATTTCGTCACAAAATAAGGTCTAATTAGCAACCAAAACAGAGATGGATTAACGATGGATATTAGCTTCCGAATCCGGTGACGGTTCTTTGGTCGTTGATTAGCTACAGATTTTGTGATGGATTGGTGATACCTCTTAAGGTGCTCGTGTTGTCAATTAGTGATGGATAATATTATTTTCCATCGCTAACTTAGCGACGGACATTGTTAAATCCATCGCAAGGGTTAGCAATACTCGTTTTGACCACATAATTTTTTCCATAGCTAGCCCGTCACTAATGTACTATTGCGGTGGTTTTGCAACAATTAACAACGGTATATACATAATCCACCCTTCAATCAGATTACTCGGTCATGAAATATATATGAACAATAAAATCTGAAAAAGTGTACCATATATAAAACTGATGGAGGGAGGGGCACAACACCTTTAGTACTAGAATAAATGTTGATCTCTTGTTTTCTGACTGTCCAAGTTGCTGCACTGCACTAAACGGCACTCTTATGATGATCTCTTAAATTAAAGCTTCAAGTCCAACCATGCTTCAAGAAATTTTAAATATTTGAACCAAGAAGAAAAAGGAAACGAAACGAAAGTGAGTGATGTTAATTAATTGATGCAAGTTAATGAAGTTTCCTTCTTCATTCCTTTAAACTACACCACATAATTTAATAGCAAGACTTGGACATTTGATTGGCTGCACTGATCACTTCCAAATAACAAGTACTGACAACTAGCAAGTTATACAGTACTAGCTTGCATTGCATGACGGCACATAACATGTGACACAAGGAGTAGAAGAGAGAGAGAGAGAGAGAGAGAGAGGAAGCCGGACCATCATAGTTGATCAAGAGACTTTAATACTACCAGGACTCTAATCTACTACTTCTGCTACACATAATAAGTTAGGACTCTAATAGTTAGTGATAGGAGGCGACGGAGAACTGTACGTAGTGTAATCTGGGTACTTATGGTTCGGTAATGGTGGGGGTGGTGAAATATAAGTGATATAAGGGTAAGGGCTCCATTTATGTTTGTGGTGGTGGTGGTACTTTTGAGGCGGAGGAGATGCATACTTTGCCATGGTGGAGGTGGTGGTGATAAGTATTTGTAAACATGACGAGGAGGAGGAGGAGGAGGTGGCGGTGATAAATATCTGTGACGAGGTGGCGGTGGTGGTGATATATATCTGTAAGGAGGAGGTGGTGAAGACTTGTATCTATGGGATGGTGGCGGTGGTGATATGTATTTGTAAGGAGGAGGAGGAGGTGAAGACTTGTATATATGGTGTGGTGGTGGTGATATATATCTGTAAGGAGGAGGAGGTAGTGGAGACTTGTACATATGGGGTGATGGTGGTGACTTGTAGCTGTACGTAGGGGCTGGTGGAGGCGGTGATTTGTTGGTATATACAGGAGGTGGAGGTGGGAAACTATACTTGCATTTACGATGTGGAGGTGGTGGAGATTTGTACTTGTACTTGTGAGGTGGTGGTGGTGCTGATGGAGATTTGTGCTTGTGGTGAAATGGAGGAGGAGGAGATTTGTAGTTGAGCCATAGAGCTGAGTTCCCAGAGAAGGTTGTATCAGTAGCTTGAGAGGATGATGAGCGCAGTAGAGCTAAGGAAACGTAAAGCATGAGCGAGTGTAAAACATCCATCGGCTGTGGGAGGAGGAGCAGCTACTATAGATCGAGAGATCAACTGTTTATATAGAAAATTTGAGACTTAGTGGACCCTAGATGTTGAATAAGACAGAGATTGAGTTTGTTTATTAGTAATAGTTATGCAAAGAAGAGAGTGCGTGTTTGTTTTGCTGTTTGTGTGCACTCACAAGTTTTTAAGCACAGAAGGTAAAGGATGGCATACTTTGAATTGGGAGCCATGGCTTGACCCCCAATACTGGCTCTAAGCCATGCCAAAGGCTCAGCCAACAATGGTAGTGAAAAGTTTGTTTATATTATCTTTTTTACAGTCTGCAGACAGCTAGAATCTCAAGATTACATGCAACATATTGCGTTAAAGAAGTTGGTTCTTTCCTACAATAGGTCAATGCATAATGGATTTGGTCAGTATTTGCCACGAATTTATTGAACGGATTCATTGCGAGAGATTGAGAGGCTCAGACATGACAAAAGAGTAGGAGAATGGAATGATAATCTTGAATACGCGTGGGCTGTTCTTATTCTGAAAAAGAAACAAAAGGTTTGAGCATGAAAAGAAAATGATTCTCTTATGCAAGCTTTTGTCGGTCATTTCCATGCTACTCGTGCATTCACAGAATTAGAAAGAACTGCCCTTCCTGCAAAGTCTATTCTTGAGTGGCAGTCCACAAATTTGTTCTGGAAAGACTATTATAAAAAAGGCAAAGAATTGGTTGGGGACAGAATATCCTTATTCTTGTCTACGCCAAGTCCATAACCTCCTTTTTTGTTCATTTCCTAACCAAGCTGCAAATCACCGACAGCTTGCCAATTAACCTCAGAAATCATAATGCAAATATATTTGCATACAACTATAACTTGAGTTGCATATTAAAGTATTTTACAAGTAATTCTTGCAAGTTCACGCATTATTCCTTCTCTTGCTGATATGACCTCTCTCTCTTGATTCCAGTGGTTGAAGTTGGTTATTTTGAAAAATAATTCTTTCAGAGTAAATTTGTCAAAGACCCTTTGGAGGTTGAAGGGTTACAACACCATTTGCTTTAGCGTTGCTAGCATAAGTGTGATTAGGCCAAGCCATGAGGTGGATTTGGATTGAATCCATTTGGTCCATGGCATAAATGAGACTGTCCTTAATTTCATTTTGATCGCAGCAGTGCATGAGCCCCATCGAGCAGACACTTGAAGGCATTAGACTCTTTCCTTCTAATCGAGAAATGACGAGAAGGTGGCCGATTTTATTTGCCTCTTCATATAGGTCGCTAAGGCCAGCCCGACCAGCTGCTGAACCTTTCGTCACTGAGTAGACACAGATAAAGCCCTGTTGATGGCATTAGAATTAATGACAATGAGTCAGTTCAATGACAGTAATGCAGAGTTCAATTTGATTAAGCATGCATGGTTAATTAATCTGATTTGAGATTTTTAAAGATAAGTTGAAAATCATGGAGTTCAAGTGCAATGGTGTTAGTTACCTCATCAGTTCGTTTGATGTCCATTCCAAAACGAGTTTCTCCAGGTTCTGGTGTCATTTCAAGCAGGATTTCTGCAACTCCTGGTAGAAACCATAGTCTTATCCCTTGCAATATCGGAACTGGTGTTTTACTGCTTTGCTGCCCACCCCAACCCCACTCTTTTCCCGTGCATAGGGTTTTCTCCTTCCATTGGTTATACAAAAAGTTGAAAAGCAAATTCACACTAAATAAATTTCTGGAATGTCAGGTTGGTGCAAACATAAAGCTAACTCAATGTCTGTTTTAGTTTCTATTTGATTTTAGCTTCAATTAAACACTCAGTTCTTAACCGACTGAGGCCAGGTTCTGTGTAAACTAATACTAATGAAATGGAATGTCTACAATTAAAAACTGAGTAATCTTCTGTAGCAGAAAGACTGATACCGGATTTAGAGTCTGTTCTGTTTGGATATTGACAAAGACAAGGGGAACTCCTGAAGAAATTGCTGCTGAAAACCAGGCCATGCACCTGCCTGTAGTGGCTTCAATGCTGTGTTCACCTTGTAAAGGCATGAACAGAATAGAACTAACAACACTAGATTGCTGGTCCGGTAGATATTGATCAACTTTCATCTTCCAGTCATACTTCACTCCCTGCTTGCTAAATGCTCCGGAATCCACATTCACTACTCCCCTGCTCATTTCTGCACCAAATAGAGCTCCTCAAACTTGTTAGGTTTATGGAAATTGACAGTTTATAGTGTTAGCTAAGTCCACAGCATGGGCAGCAGTTGCTTGACTGTTACGAACTTAGCTTATGTTAATACAGTCTATCATTCCTGTTTCAGGTGACAGAACAATCATGTCAGAAAATAATTAAATATGGCCCAAGTTTGGGAACCAATTTCTTGTTGTATTGCTTTCTTATAATTGTCACTGTTGTCTGCTAATGGAAACAATAATCCCCATGTTGGTCTTCCGTAGATGCACCGCTTATGAGAGAACCATGAACCCTTGCTGCTATAATACAGACCAACTACATCGGAGACTCCATGTATAGTTTTGAACAGCTTAAATTTACCATCTAGAAAAGAAGGAAGAAAATTCCATTTAATCCCAGTGGAAACTATTTCTATATGGCAAACTGACAGTGCTTTTCTTTAGCTTCCTAAATAGTAAAAAAGTTTTCTTCTATTAAGAGTTGTGCTTTTTTTTCCCCCAGAGAACAAACAGTATTTAGAGATTTGTGTGTTGGGCTCTTGATGTACCAAATTTTTTCGTTGGTTTTCCACCATCTCGAAATTGTGGGCTGTGATTGACACACATCCAGGAGGGATTAAGGGCTTAAATTTCATATATAGACATTAGACTATAAGTTTATCGTAGGATCTATAAATATCTGGTCATCAGAAACCATTATGACTGTCAAGTGTCAAGACGATCGAACATCGGAAGAAAACCTACCTTGCAGCTCTGTGCATTGTTCCAAGGTCAAGTCTCCTAAAACTGCAACATGCCTATCATCATTGGCTGCTTTAATGGTGAATCTTCTCTGTAGCACCGCACACCTATCTGGCACCACTCTGGCACGGAGCTTAAGTGTCCTCTCACCTCTTCTAACCTTCAACCATACTGTCTCAGCCTGCGGGCTAATCTTACCAAGCTGTGACCTAAGATCAGACTTAGCTTTAGCCCGCACAAATAACCCATCTGCATCATTCTTAGCAAGCCCTTCAATGATGTCTCCAGGCAATGGCATGCTCTCATCCCACTCTTCGGATGCTTCTTGCTTTACTCGTTTCACACAAACCAGTGTTTCAGACATATCTTCCTGCTTCTTGAAACAAAAGTACTTTTCCATGGATTCTAAAACTTATATATTCAGAGTGGGAAGATTGATCTCTTAAAATGTCTTAGAATTTTGCAGCCATTATTGTACAACCTGCGAAGATTCCGAGGTAGTCAATTTCTAGGTCTTCACGTACAGACCATCGATCGCAAGGATTTTCCTATACCATTTGTTTAAGAATTTTTCTTCTTTTTTTTTTTTTTTCTATTACGATAATGCCATGAAAGGCCGGCTCTATTGATTTCTTTTACTATCAATCACTACCTCGTCAAAGAAAACATATAGAAGCTAACTCAGATGTCGTAAGAAACTTTGCGGATGAATGAGTTTGCGACACACAAGAACATTGGAAATGAGCAATTTTGCCAACTTTTACTCAGGTCTCATTTGCTTTATTGTGAGACCTCCTAAGGTGTGAAGACAATGGAATCAGACAAAAGAAGTCATATTTAACGAACATGTTTAAGTTAGAAATTAAACTTTACTTGGCCCAAGTCTATAGCACAAGTTCAAAAGCCAAGTCTAAACAAATCTTTCCTAAAATTTTCTACAGACATTGTCAACATTCACGAAATCTCTTAATCTTTTTCAAGAAGTCTTTTTAATTATTCTAGATACATATATATGCATTGATAATGTAATTATTCTTTTAATTCTCTTGAGTTATCCAGTATAAATATAGTCTTTTGACCATCAGTTTGTGTGTGCAAAAATAAAAAATTAAATCAAGTCTTTGTGAGAAAGCGAGTGGGAATGTGTGAGGGCTTATTGGCCGTAAAAAGAGTGATTAGAGATTTAGTGTATCCAAAATATTCGAGCGAAATATATTTTGTATTTTGTCAACTTAATTATTTAATATTTTTTCCCATCAAAGTGGCAGCGGAGTCAGGTTGTCCATAAGGATGGCTAGTGGAATATATTCATTTTAGCTCTCTCGTCTCAACAACAACAACTACGATAATTGGATGACCCGCATCAATGTTGTTTTATACTAATACGATGCTTTAGATGGTTATGAAGAATTGGCTGATGAGAATGCTTTGAACCAAAATCAAAGAAAATCTTTGACAGAAACACGGAAGAAGGATTCGCAAACCCTTGCTATCATCCATCTATGTTTGGATGAAAGCATGTTCGAGAAGGTTTCTCCCGCAACCACAACCACAACCACAACCAAGGAAGCATCGAAGATTTTACAAAAATCTCAAAAAAGTGTAGGCAAAGTAAAGAGATTTGTCTTCAAACCTTGCGAGGCGAGTTTGAAACTCTCTAAATGAATAATTCTGAATCAATTTTAGATTATTCTTTTTGAATATTATCAATTGCAAATCAATTCAGAAGATATGGAGAGGAAGAATTAACTGATACTAGAATAATCGAAAAAATTCTTTGCTCTTTCCATCCAAAATATGAGTATATTGCGATAGTTATCGAAGAATCAAAAGATTTAAACTATATGATAATTGATCAATTACAAGCCCATGAGAAAGAAATTTTGGAGCAAGTGTTGCGACGCAACACTTGCTCTAAGAGAAGAAAATAAAGTCCATGAGAGAAACGGTAGAGGACAAGGTCATGGCTGTGGTAGACGACGAGGCTGAGGAAATGGAAGAGGAGGCTACACTCAATATCGACAAGAAGAAAAAGAGAAAATTCTCGTCCGACAAGAGGGCGTGGACAAGAAAATTATATAAAGCCAAGGTATGACAAATCTCAAATCCAATATTATAATTTTCATAGATATGGTCATCACTCTTTCGAATGTAGAAGCAAGGCTAGCCTCGTAGAAGAGAGGGAACATATTGCCGAGAAGAATGATGAAGAAAAAATTTCTTTTCTAATAGCTTATCAAGATGATTATGGAGAAAAGGCAAGCATGTGGCATCTTGATACAGGTGCGAGCAACCATACATGTGGCAATAAAGCCTTGTTCGCAGAGTTTAATGAATTAACAAAAGACTTTCTGACATTTGGAGATGACACTAAAAGTCTAGTGGAAGGCAAATGTAATATTTTTATATGCCTAAAAGATGGAAGGCTACATTTTATTAATGATGTTTATTATGTGTCTAAATTAAAAAGCAATACAATAAGTTTGGGAAAACTACTTGGAAAAAATTATGAAAATCAATTGAAAAATAAATTTTCCTCTGTAGAGATGTAGAAAATAATTTAATTACAAAAGTGCTAGTGATAAAAAAAAATAATATTGTTGGTAAATATCCAAATCGATGGAGGTGAATTCCTGAAGGCATGTATGAAAGATATTTCTTGTCTTTGGCATCTAAGATATGGGCACATAAATTTTAATAATTTGCATATATTGTCCAAAGATGAAATGGTGGAAGGATTGCCTTCCATCAACGTTTCTGACCAACTATGTGAAGGGAGTATCTATGGAAAGCACTCTAGAAAAATCTTTTCACAAAAAGCTACATCAAGAGTTGAGAAGACACTTGAACTTTTTCATGTTGATATTTGTGGGCCTATTAATCCAAGTTCTTATGGAAAAAATAAATATTTTGTTGTAGTCATTGATGATTTTAGATGTAAGACTTGGGTATATTTTCTATTAAAAAAAAAAATCGAAAGCATTCTATGTTCAAAAAATTCAAGGTCCTCGTAAAGAAGAAAAGTTGCCATGAAGTTAAAGCTATGACAATCGAGAAAGGCAGAGAATTCACATCGAAGGAGTTCAACAAATTCTATGAAGATAATGGAATTCAGCATCGTTAACAATCCTTAGGCCACCTTAAAATAATGGAGTCATAAAAAAAATAATAAAGAACAATACTGAACGTGGCTCGAAGCATATTGAAGAGCAAAAAGATGCTGAAAAAATTCTGGGCTGAAGTTGTTGATTATGTTGTGTACTTTTGCAACTGTAATCCTACAAAGAGCATATCTAATAAGACTCTGCTAGAAGCATGGAATTGTAGAAAGCTGAAACTCAAGCATCTCAAAGTTTTTGGAAGCATTGCTTATGTGCATGTTCCAAATCAAAATCGCTCTAAACTAGATGATAAAAGCAAAAAAAATGTCTTTGTTTGGTATGATAAATGCTCAAAGGACTACAAACTCTACAATTCAGTCAAATACATGACAATTGTCGAGCATGAGAGGCGAAGTTTGACGAAGAAGCCATATGGGATTGGAATGTCAAAGAAAGTGATAAGGATGATTTCCTTATAGTATTTGAAGAAGAAGAAGAAGAGTATGCAAGCCAACATCTACAAGATTTGATTATGCCACTTTCAAAAGATGCCTCTTCAATAATCTCTAATAAAGCAACACGAAGAGCTTAAATGAGATCTATGAGGTAACACAAAATCTCAATAAAGAGCTAAATCTTTTTTTTTTTTTTTTTCGATTGTGAATCTATAAGCTTTGAAGAAATAGAAAGATGCAATGGATGAAGAAATCAAGGCTATGAAGAAGAATGATACTTAAGAGTTCACAACTCTTCCAAGAGGGCGTAAAGCTATTGGTGTTAAGTGGGTCTTCAAGGTAAAAAAAGTATGCCAATTGAGACGTTAATAAGTACAAGACAACATTGTTCACCAAGAGATAACAAACAAAAAGCTGGCATTGACTACGATGAGGTATTTATCCCTATTTCTCGCTTGAAAACCATAAGATTATCATTTCTTTAGCAACTCAAAACGGATGGAGAATCTTCCAAGTAGATGTCGAGTTTGCATTCTTAAATGGCTATATATATATATATATATATATATATATATATATATATATAAGTCTATCTATAGCAGCTATTAGGCTACATTGAGAAGGGGCACGAAGTTAAAGTGTTAAAATTGAAAAAGACTATATGTCCTTAAACAAGCTCTAAGAGCTTGGTACAACGAGATTGATGATTACTTTTAGAAAAATAATTTTTCTAAATGCTCACATGAGCATGCTCTCTATGTCAAAATATAGATGAAGATATCTTAAGCGCGCGCTCATATATGGATGATTTGATATTCATTTAAAATAGTATAAGATTAGTTGAAGATTTCAAGAACGTTATGGAAAGAAAGTTCAACATGACGGATATCAAGCTCATGACCTATTATCTTGGCATAGAGGTGAAGCAAAAGGAATATGTCATCTTTATTTCTCAAGAAGTTCATGCAAAGGAAATTCATAAGAAAGTCAAGATGGAAGATTGCAAACCAATTAGCACACATGTGTAATGTGGAGTCAATTTCTCCAAGCAATATGAAAGAGAGCAAGTCGATTCGACGTTCTTCAAAGGCCTAGTTAGAAGCTTGAGATACTTAACATGTATAACACACTACAAAAATTTTAGAAACTAACGATAGATTTTTCCATTACTATTTGCAAAAAAAATAAAAATAAAATAAAATAAAATAAAATAAAAATAAAAATAAAAATCCATCACTATATGAAATTAGCAACGAATTAGAGAAAAAATTCAATTCATCGCCAAAGTGGTGGTCGTTATTTTTTTAGTGATGAAAAAAATTTTCCGTCACTATTTTGTTGATTGTCCATTGCTAAATGGTTCTCGATCGATCATTCACGATGTCTTGCATTCATTACTAACCGTCACTATTTTCACTTATTTCTATTGCTAAATAGCGATAGAATGTGCTATTGCTAATATCCTTACAATTTCGTCGCTATTTAGCGACTAAGTACACATCTATCACTAATTATCATCTCTATTTCGTTGTCATTTTTTTAATGAAATGTCATTTATTGATAATTGTAACAACAAATAAATATAACCAACACCTTATTAAAACATACTAAATTATTAAATAAAATTAAAATTATATAAATTAAATTAAAATAAATATATAAATATGTTATGTATAAAAATATTTAAAAAATTAAAAAAAGAAAAAAAAAGAAATTTAGTCTTAATTATCATCATCTCCCGCATCATCTTTCGATTCGTTGGTTGTTGAGAGGAACGACCGACTACTCGGGTTATGAGAGGGTCGGCAAAAGGGATGTGAGGCGGGTGAAGGTTCTCTAATAAC